GGTATGAGTGTCGAAGGTGGTTGGGGTTGACTCTGTGTAGCGCGTGGGCTGTTGATTTGACTCGTTGATGTGATTGCAGGTATGGTTGTGGTTCGGACCCTGGATGTGATTGCCTGCGATTACATACTTATATAGCTGAAAGGAGCCCCACTGTGACTGTGAGAAGTGATCGTCCTATATAGCTAATCCTTATATATTTATAAGTGCCCTGAGTATTCGAGAGGCCTACTGCAATTGTGCATAAGGGTTAACCGGATTATGGCTTGAGAGGAAAGGAAGACCCTCTGTTATCTTTTGCTCTTTGGAGTTTTTGTAGCTGGACGTTATAGTTCGTGGCAGCCGTTAAAGTCAAACCCCTTGATGTTCGACCGCCACGAAAGCTTAAAGTTGTCTACTCAACCCCTTTGCACAGGGTGTAGAAGAGGGTGTGGTCTTCAACCGCTCATAGCGGTTGTCCAGCGTCGAGAGATTAACCCTCAAGGCGCGTGTCAGGCGACACTTGAGTGTCGAACGCGACCCGCGAGATTAACGAGGGTCGCGTAAGTATGGGTACTACATAGTATGCCATCATTGAGACTGCTTGTGCACATTTGCATCGCGAGTCGACATGAGTTAGCCCTGCGTCCGCGCGGTTTTATACTGAGCATCGCGCGAAACGCCTATTTGATTTCCGCATTGAAAAGTTATGGGTCGGCTACCGAGGGGCTAGGAGCGTTGTCGCGTTGTTTGTTGTGTGTCGTTTCGTCTGCGTATGTGTGTGTGTTGTTGTTTTATAGTTGTTAGAGTGGTGTGCGCGTGGTCTGTGGGATGCGTCCTAGTCGACCGACGTCGGGCCGCGCTTGGGACCTCAGCCCCCCAAGATGTCGGTTCGCGTGCGAGTTCGATAGAGGTGTATTACCACGCGTACCCCCTATGCTAGCGAATGAGAAACGCCCTCGGCTGGTCCACCTCTGCGATTGCAACTGATTAACTTTCGTACTGTGGACTGGTAGCTCGGCGGGGATATGCCCACCGATGGGAGGTGACAGCTCCCGTAAGGTGTAGGTAAGTCGTGCCTCGCGTAGGCCCTGTCCTGTCGTAGGGGCTCACGAGAGGTATGGCTGGCGCACTCGGCCGGAGCGGCTTGCGGAAACTCCATATGTATAATTTGTGGCGAAGGATTTAAACCAACTCCTGCGTGACGCGGCCGGGAGGGTCCCGCGCTGCCCTGGTGCGGTGCTGGACCAATGCGCTCGACAGGTGGCGCCGTTGTCGGGGATAACGGAAAGCCTACCGTTGTCCCTGGTGGAACGACATCCGGGTATGGGAAGTGAGCGAGAAAAGACATAAAGGAAGGACGAGAAAGTGAGGAAAAATAATGGATGACTAAGTATAGGTGAGGAAATTTACCTACTTGAGTAAGGGAAGGTATGAAGGACGAACATGTAGCATTGGGTAAAGGTACGTAGTAAAAGATAGGTAGGACGGATGGAATAGACCGGTCAAGATGCGATGCTGAATAAAAGAGGTATGCTTGTTTTTTCTTTTTTATAAGGGAACTTGAAGGGAAAAGCCTGTCAAGATGTCGCAGGGCGGCGGCGCATCGGGTGGTCCGAAGAAGGGCCTTACGCTCGATGACCTCATTGCGGCCATTGACCGACATGAAAGGAACCCGAGCAATATCCCTAAAGTCGATACCTTCCACTTTTGTGGGGAGAGGGTTTCAGAATGGCTGGAGCGGGTGAAACAAGCTTTGGTCGGGCGGTCCGACGTTGTAAAGTTCCAACGCATTTTTCAGTATGTCTCCACAACTACCATCAGGAAGTGAAGAAAGTCATAGATGCGGCCCAAGGTAGCTGGAAGAGGTTCAAGGAGGGATGCAAAGGAAATACCGCCTGGGAGATGGGTTGTTGACTACTGCGGACCTTGAGGCGATGAACAAAGAAGATTTTACGACGATAGGGGCCTTTGTTTAAGAATTTAAGAAGAGGGCGCGAAAGGTCTATGGGATTTCGGAGGAAGCACAGTGCGCCATTTTTCTAGGGTTACTCACGACATCGGAGGTCGTCGAGTTGACGGGACATGGAGGGGGTAGCACCAAGCTCACCTGGGCCACCATTGACAGAGGGGTGAAAGTTGGGTGTTTGGACCAGGTGGAGCAACGTCAGGTACGCCTGCAAAGGCAGAAGAGAAAGGAAAAAGATGCGACCGCTTCTGGGACCCCGGGGGTAACAAGGATTGTTACATACGTACTGGCACAGTTGGGATATGCGACAGAGCCGGTGGTGCAAAGGAGGGTAGTAACGGTTGTCCAAGTGAAAGGAACGGAGCCGGTGATAGAGCAGGCTGTTCAGGAGGAACTCTGGGAAGAGGAAGAGTCGGTGCCGCAGCGCCTGACGAAGGCCCAACGCAAAGTGCGTAACTTGGCGCAGGGCGGACAGGGGTCAGGAAAAGCGCAGGCGCCTCAGGCCTTGACAGCAACCCCTTTGAATGTGGCGGATCCATCATCTAGTACGGGCCCCTCACAAGGAGGGGCGCCCTCCTACGGACAGTGGCCCTGGCCGGTGATCAATGCAATCGTACCATGGGGTAGCCCGCCACCAGTAGCCGGACCGCAAACGAGTATGCCGCCACCCATCTACCCCGCAGCCCAGGCCCAGCCTGTGGCCCCGCCGCCGTCACCCGCTCCCAGTTCACAGAAAAGCGTGGCTGGAGGTGGGAACCAGGGGCAGGGCAATCAAGGCAACGGAGGGAGGGGTGGAGGAAGGGGGCGAGGCAGGAATGGCGGCGGAAGAGGAAGGCAATGGAATGGCCAAGGCCAGGGGTACCAAGGCCAAGGGAGTCAAGGCCAGGGGTACCAAGGCCAGGGGTACCAAGGCCAAGGGAATCAAGGCCAGGGGTACCAAGGCCAAGGGTACCAAGGCCAGGGGTATCAAGGCCAGGGGGATCAGGGAAGTCAGGGGTATGGAAGACCCCGTTTTGACTGGAGGACGACTATCTGCCAACATTGTGACCAACAAGGCCACACTATAAGGTTCTGTAATATAAGACGGGAAGACGAGAGGAGCGGGTTGATTTCCTCCACTATAGATGGGAACATCTATGATCAGTTTGGGGAGGCCATTGACAGAAGGCTTGGAGGAGTGAGGGCGGAAGCCCAACGAAGGGCGGCAGCTGGGCCGCCACCCCCTGCCATGTTCAGGCTATGGCAGGAGAGGAAAGGACCGTCGGTGGGGATAGAGAAATTTCGGTTATGGCAGGAAAAGGAAGAACCACCGATTGGGGTAGAGGAAGTGGGAAGCGATGAGGAAGTGACTCAAGAGCCACGAGGAGGAAGTAAGGGGGAAGAGTTCATAATCATTGATTCGGATGACGAAAATGAGGAAGAAAGAATGGAACCTTCGTCCGTCTTGTTGGGGAAAATAGAGGACCTGCTGGATAAGATGGGGAGGTACCAACAAAAGTTGGTGGACCTCTTTGAGGAAGTGAGGAAGTGGAAGTCTAACATCCCCAAGGTGTTCCTCTACGACTCTGGTCCGGAGTCAGCGCCTGGGCGACCCAGAGTAAATGTGGTGGGGTCGTGCCCACAATCGGGAATGATGGGGAGACCCCTCACCCCGCAGGCCCGGCTGACACAGGCAGCGCGAACGAGAAATCAAGCCAAAGCCAGCGCCAGCCAAGAGTAAGCTGGAGCCATGAAAAAGAAAGGAGGTTGTGGAAGTGAAGGATGACAACAATGAGGAGGAAGAGGACGAGAGGCTGCGCAGGGAGGAGGATCAGAGAGCGGAGCAGCGGGCAAGGAAAAGGGAGCCAGGGGAGAGGTCGAGCCGGTCATGCGCGACGGACCGCCCAAAAGGAAAAAGTATCCAGTTCGGTTGGAGGAGGGGTTTGTCGTGGAGAAAGTGATCGACCGGCTGCTAGAAGGGCACAATGACCTCATGACTATGAAGGAAATCCTAGCGTCGGCCCCTCGACTCCGCGATGAACTGAAGGGGAGATTGTCGTGGCGCCTGGTGCCCAATGTCCATCTGGGTACGATCCTGCCCAAGAAGGCAGAGTTGGCGGAGTCAGGTACGAAGATGGACTGGAAGTGCGTAGCCTGCGGCACGGTGGATTTGGTGGTGAAGGGTTCCAAGTGCGCAGCAATGGTGGACATCGGGGCAGAGATGAACATTATTCGGGAGGTGGACGCGATCAGATTCGGGCTAGATATAGACCGTTCCGACTGCAGTATTCTGCACGGAGCCAGCTGCAAGGCCGTATTTTGTGGGACAATCTCGAATGTACTTATCGAGGTTGGAAAGGTGAAGGCCTGGGCTTGCTTCTTCATCATTCCGGACGTGGATCACGGAATCCTCCTAGGGAGGTCATTCCTAAGCAGGACGGAGACCGTGATATTCAATAAGCATGACGGGACGTTAATCCTCCTCTTATGCGATCCTGCCTGCGGGAATTACGAAATAATTACCTGCAGGAACACAAGACCGAGGAGTATAAGGAACCGGCCCAATCTAGGATCGTTCACGATTGAAGAATCGAAAGTGAGCGTCGGAGGTTCCGGGCAGAGCCAGAAGAAGAAGAGAAAGTGGAGGCATTTTCCCTCAGCCTGTCAGATGTTGGGAAGGCCATGGACTTGGTGGCTGCGCATGAAATGGCAGATCCGGATGCCATCCAAGCTTTGAGGGAGCAAGTTCTTGAATGTCCCGAGGCAGGAAGGTTGGAGCTGGTATATCGGCTTCAGGGCGGCGGGAGGAGCCCCTCATCAGCACAGGCGCAATCTGTGAGTCAGCCTTTTTTAAGGGGCGGCTCAAACAGGGTTCCCAAAGGCGGTACAAGACGGTAGATAAGAAGTGCCGCCCGGTTCCTGTCCTCATTACAGAAGATGAAGAAGCATACTACGAGAGGGAACGAGGGTTGATACGACGAATGAGGGAGAGTGCTCTAGCAGGGCCATGTCGTATCAACGAAGGGAACGAGGAGAAGTTAATTATAGGGGAACCCGACTTCCTACTGCCTCAGGAGTGAGCGTTGATGGTGGAGTTGATGAAAAGGAGGCATTGCGCCTATGCGTTTAGTGACGAGGAGCGTGACAGGCTGAATGTGGACAAGATACCTATGATCCACATTCATACCGTGTCACACGAGCCTTGGAACATGAGAGGGGCGCGACATCCCAATCCTGACAAGGAAAAGAAGGTGGTGGATTACCTCGACGACAAAATACGTACGCACGTCGCCGACTATTTGACTGGACCGTATGCGTCCCCGTGGTTCTGCTTTATCAAGCCTAACGGGACGCTGCGGTGGGTGAAAGATTTGCAAAGACTGAATGCGGTGACCGTATGGGATGCTGGAGGGTTGCCCAATGCAGACACGCTGTCAGAATCCTGTGCTGGAAGGCCTATAATCTCACTTATAGACCTTTACTCAGGATATGATCAGTTCCCAGTCTACCCGCCGGATAGGCCGGTGACGGCTATGCACACTCCGCGAGGATTAATCCACATGAACGTGGCCCCACAAGGGTGGACCAACGCGGTAGCAATGGTCCAACGAGCCATGATTCGGGTTATGCAGTCAGTCAGCCCCCATATCACACAACCATACATCGACGATTTGGCAGTGAAGGGGCCGGCGGTGAAAGAGAGCAACGAAGTCTCGCCAAGGGTAAGGCGCTTTGTTAGGAAGCACATCCAGGACCTCGAAAAAGTCCTGAGCCTGCTCGAGGAGCATAACCTCACGGCAAGCAGGGCCAAATCCAGACACTGCATGAAGGAAGCGACCATTTTGGGGTTCGTCTGCAGCGAGAAGGGCCGAAGGCCGGATGTGAAGAAGAAAGACAAGATTACTGAGTGACCGGTTCCGTTCCACTCAATAACTGATGTCAGGAGCTTCCTTGGTACGTGTGGATTTTGGAGGACCTTCGTTTAGAACTTTGCCGCTAAGACTGAACACCTGAGGAAGTTAGTCTGTCAGGACCAGGAATGGGTTTGGGGTGAAGAGCAAGAAGAGGTGGTGGCCAGAATGAAGGAGGAATTTCGAGAAGGAGGGTTGGTGTTAGGAGCGCCCGATTATGATGCCACGGAAACACGACCCTTCATTGTCGAAACAGATGCGGGGCCAACTACCTTAGGAGGAGTTCTAATCGAGGCAGACATAGAGGGAAAGGAAAGACCTTTGAGATTTGAGAGTCGGACTCTCTGTACGACCGAGAGGAACTACTCTCAGTTCAAGAGGGAGACCATTGTCGTCCTCCACTGTCTACGAATCTTGCGGAACTACATCTTCGGCAGGAGGTTTATTTTGAGAGTGGATCCGACCGCCCTGGCGTACTCTCTAAGGAATTACGTTCCATCGGATCCAACGGTTGCCAGATGGCTGACGTACATCTGGATGTTCAATTTCGAATTGGAACGGATTCCTGACAGTAAGAACCGGGCGGACAGGCTGAGTCGGATCAACAGGGATAAACAGGAAGATGAGGCGGTGGAGAATACGCCCCCAGTTGATGGATTTTTGGATTAGGAGGAAGATATTTGTCTCCACATCAACAAGTGGTCGCCGCGAGTGCCTGGCTGTATAGGCTATCCTATCTGGCAAGCGCCGAATGGGTATGAAAGGAGGGCCGAACTAGTCCTCAAACCCTTTGAAGAAGAGGATCCCTGGGGTGGTAAGGATGTCTAGTGGATGATGGAGTTAGCGTTGGCCAGCTCGCATAGCCTGGTGGAGGACATGAGGACGATTGAGGAAGGACCTGGCCAGGGAGAACGGCATGAGGACCTAATGGGAGGAATGTATCTCCTCGTCAACACGTTATTGCAGGAAAGCCTCGACCAGTCAGGCTCGTTGAACCCGGCAGGGAATGTGGACGAAGTGTCCGAGAGCCAAGACGACGAGTTCGAGGAAGGGGAGATTAAGGAGGCTTTTCGTGCAGAGGAGTATGACGGGATCTACCTAGAGCTGGGGCTTCTTCTGTCATGTGAAATGCGACTTAGGGATGCGAGCGATAGAGCTCAGAGGATGCTGCAGCGCTACTTAGTGCGAGACGACCACCTTTTCGTGAGAAGAGAAGTGGGGAATCCCAGGAGAGTCGTCTGCGGTAGGAACCGTCAGATTGACGTCGTAGCTGCGCTTTACGATGGCATTACAGAAGGGCATCGAGGGGTACAAGCTACGTATGCCAAGATAAGTGAGTTGTACTACTCGGATGGGATGATGGACATGTTTGGGAAGTTCTGCCGATCTTGCGTACCTTGCCATGAGAGATCCCGTTTAAGGCAAGGAGAGTCGCTGCATCCAAGGCTAGAGTGAGAGGTGGGGGCAGTAGTGCATCTCGATCTACTTTTTATGTCGCTTGAGGATTAGGGCTATAACTATATCTTTGATGCGCGCGATAACCTGTCCGGCTTCGTAGACGGGCGTGCTATTCGCACAAAGACCGGGTCAGTCCTGGTAAGCTGCATCAAGGAGTACTATCTACGCTATCCTTTCATCAGGGAATTCGTAATGGACAGGGGATCGGAGTTTACCTGCCAGGAGGTGCAAAAATTGTTATCAAGGTATGGTGTAGCAGCCAACTACACCACGGCCACGCACCCCCAGGCACATGCTCCCGTGGAGAGAGGACATAATACCATTACGAGCCTCCTGGCTAAGTGGACCGAAGGTAGGCCTAATCAATGGCCAAGATACCTAAGGGCCACGTTCTTTGTCGAGAACGTTACAGTAAAAGGTCCACTAAGTATGCACCGGCGACGCTGTGGTATGGAAGGTACGTCACCTTCCCTATTGAGAGCTTCCTTAAGACATGGAGGCGCCAGGATCTGGAAGTTAGCCTGTCATTCGAAGAATTGCTCGATATTCGGGCGCGGCAGATAGGGGCGATAGAAGAAAGGATCCAGGAGGTGTCCGATCAGGTGGTGAGAAGCCGAATGGATGATAAGACTCGATGGGATCAGTCTGCGCGGGTGAGGAAAGTACCTTTGGCAGTTGGGGATGTCGTGCTCCTCTATGATTCATCTTTGGAGAAGCAGTGGTCCAGGAAACTCGATAAGAGGTGGTTAGGTCCCTAACGAACGTACCAGATTGAAGAGCTAAATGAGACTGAGTGGAAGGATTGGGTATCTGGAACGCGACTGAAGAAATTTATGGCGAGAGAAGAGGTAAGAGAGATGACCTGACTGCCTTTAGAATAAAAGTAATAGGGTGTGTAGGTTAGGTAGGATGCATGCTGTATGAGTGTGGTCTGGTCTGAGCTTGCTTTGATTATCACCTGTTTGCTTACCCCAATGTGTGTGTGTTGTCTCCTTCGCCTGTTGTGCAGGTCTGACGTTACGAAGACAGCCATGCCAAGAGGAGGGAAGGGGACACGGCCGCCTTAGAGGCCGTTGGGCGCATCAGGGGGATATGAGCGGCATGAGCCTCGCCATCGAGAGAGCACTCCAGAGTACGACGGTGGCGATATCGAGCTATTCCTAGACAGCTTCTGGGAGCATGCGCGACGTATGGGTTGGACTGTGACCCAGGGGATTGAGAGGCTGAGGGGAGTCGGCAAATTTGAGGAGCCCGTTGCACGGATCCGTAGAGAGGCGGCGACGAGGTCAGAGGCGGAGTTGAGGATGCAGGAACTGCGACCCTCGCCAATGGGGCCTGATGGCAGGCCGATCCGCCTGGAGATTGAAAATGCGTTGGACTTCATCCCCGCATTTGAGTGGTTCATGCAGGGGCAGGGTATACCGAGAGACGATTGAATGCAGACATTACCACTCTGGACCAGGAAGGCGGAAAGACCACTGGCTAGGCAGGTTAGAAGCATGGTCCGGGACTAGGAGAGCTGCAGGGCACATCTGAGAGAGACCTTTCGACGGCCAGAGCCCCCTCAACCCAGAATTGAGAGGCGTCAGAGGAGTCAGAGGCAGAGGGATCCTGAGCCCAGAGAGGCGAGACCATCTCGAGGACGTCGGAAGGCCCTAGCCAGGAGAAGAGGAACCGGAGACGGATCCAGAGGCTGAGGAGCGAGGGGCATACCCTGAGTGTGGGTTGGGACCAATGGAGTTCCATCGGTTTACCGAGGGTGGATTGAGGAGGTCGCCAGCACGCACACAGGAGGAGCCGTCAGCATCTGAGGGGCCCTTGAGGGAGTTGGAGACACATTTGGATATCTCTCGGTGGAGGGCGTCGCCTCGGGGTGAGGAGCATGGAGAGCAGGCGGAGGAGGTACCACGAGAGGAGGTGCCACAGGAGGAGGTGTCACGAGAGGAGGTGCCACAGGAGGAGGTACCACGAGAGGAGGTGCCACGAGAGGAGGTGTCATAGGAGGAGGTACCACGAGAGGAGGTGCCACGAGAGGAGGTCCAGGATACTCAGCGAGAGAGGGGGTTGGGCAATGAGGGGAGACGTGCAGGGAAGGAAGTGATAGAGGTTGGAGAGGACACGCCCCCACAGATGCCAGCGGTGGGTTTGAGACTCGGGGATGCACTAGGGGGCACTCGCCAGGCAGGGGAGAGGTTGCAGAGAGAGGAGGCCCCATTGCCTTCATAAAAAAAGGCCACTTCGCCAGAAGGAAGGGAAGAAAGGAGGAGAGAGAGGGCAGTTGTAAGGAGAGAAGCCTTGACACTGATTGACAGGCACCTAGCAGCTTATGCCCTGGAGCACCCAGACCTGGAAGAGCCAGCACCTGCAGCGCCGCGCCAGGAGCCGTGCCAGCCCGAGAAGGAGATGAAGGCAGAGATCCCGAAGAGGGTCGACCTCCGCACGAGGGAAAGGGCGCCAGCTGGAGGGACAGCAGAGGAAAAGAGGGCGAGAAAAACCAGGAGGATAGACGAGATATGGCAAGAGAGGCAGAGGTTGGACGCAGCGGGGGAGCTTCCGGAGCAGCAGCAGGAGAGGCAGAGATCGGAGGCAGCAGGAGCACTCCCAGGTCAGCCACCCAGCACGTCAGCTAGGGCCCCGGAGATCCCTGAGATGTGGAGGGACTTCTGGGAGCAGAGAGGAGAGGAGCTTCCTTCGCCAGTCAGAGCTGGGTTTGGGGTAGCAAGAAAGACGGAAGAGAGATTGGATCGAAAAATCAAGTTCCTGGCCAAGACAACTTTTGACCGGCACTTGTTACTGGAGGGCGATCTGGCAGGGAAGAAGAGAAAGGAAGCAAGTCATGGAGTACGCCTGGAGACTATGTAGATGGAAATCCAGGAACTCAGGGCATTGGTGGCCAGCCAGGCAGCTATCATTGAGAGCCTGAGGCAGCAAACCCAGGGAAAGGTGGACAAGCCAAAGAGCAGCCGGCAGGGCGAGCAGAGGCAGCCAGGACAGTCATCTGCAACAGAGCCTCGCCAGGGGCCACCTATGGGGAGGGTTATCCTGGAGCCAGAGGAGGCGAGAGCCTAAAGACAGGTGGAGAGAGAGGCATTCGAGTTCAGAGGCCCTATCGAGCTCGCGACGCTGCCAGTGGCGGCGGCGGGCCCAGTCGTACCTTTGGCAGTAGAGGAGGGGCGGCCACCATCTAGCAGTGAGCCGGCTCAAGGCTCAACAGAGGGATCCATGGGTGTGCTCCTTGTGGCGGTGCATACAATGCAGGAGGAGGTGAGTTTGTTTTCACCCGAGCAGAGGATAGAGGAGCCTCTTGAGAGAGAGATGGGGATTGAGGCGGAGGGTGCCATCGAGGGCGGGCTCCAGAGGTTGGGCACGCCTGAGTATGGACCAGAGGAGATTGAGGAGCAGCCAATGGCAGTGCCAGGAGAGACACTCGAGAGGAGACCTCAGAGGTTGAACACACCGAAGTACGTCCCAGCGACAGAGGATTTGAGGAGCAGACTGGGATCTTGGGCTACTGAATCTTGGTCTGGGGGACCGGTTCCTGGGATAGAGCAGCAGGAGGTCGTTAGTGTCGCAGCTCCTCGACCAGAGCAGCAGGGGGTTGTCAGTACCTTGCTAGGATCTCCTTCATCACCACCTCCTCAGCCCAAGAAGAAGAAGTTCAAGAGGAAGGTTGATCAGCTATGCTTCTACTGCAAGAGAGGCATGCATCTGACTCTGAACTGTTTCGAGTTCCTTGAGGATAAGGCAGAAGGGAAGGTCTTAGAGGCAGGGGGTAAGATGTATGATAGACAGGGTAGGATAGTAGAGAAGTCCGGAGATGGACTTAGGGCTCAGTTATATAGGCAAAACCAGGAGGTGTTGAGGAGGTAGGACCGGTTTGTCTATGTAAGTGGGCGAGTATCTTGTGAGGCATCAGCTTAGGTTCTGTGTGATACCCTCTTAGACTTAGAGGACCTTTTGATGATTGCTACTAGTCTAAATCCGAACTCTAGTGTTCCTACTGAGTTACGGTCTTGAGGATCAGGGTGATTTAGATGAGGCATGTACATATTTAGGTGGCCTACGCCCTAGCCTTTGAGAGACAGATCTGACATGTATTTTAGGGATAATTGTCAGCGTGAGTTTGGTGTGGTTTGAGTTGAGTGAGCTATGATTTGGAGACATTTTCTGTGTGAGACATTTTATTTCCCTGAGTGTATATTATGATGAGTTTTTTTTTCAGGGACCATTCTTATATGTGACGATCACTTGTCTCTCTCACATGTGTGGTTGTGCTCTGATGTATGATGAGTTTGTGTGGACAATGTGTGAAAAACCTTTTATGTGTCATGGGTACTGTGAATATGATTGTAAGCAAAACTGTCTATTCCTCGGTATACTTGTGCGACCTGCCCACGGGCAGCTGATAGGGCAGAGTATAAGGGGAGGAAGCGCAGCCCGTCTGTGAAAGGTTGTGAGGATTTTGAAGATTTATGAGCCCAGGAGGCTCAAAATGCTTACCATGTTGATTGTTGAATGCTTAAGTTGTGATGAGGACCCATAAGATGGTCTCTCAGTGATGCTTGTTTTATGATAAGCCCCCTTGGATTTTGGAAAAGGGGATGTTTTGTGATGTTGTGTGTTATGATGAGACCCCTCGAGTTTTTGAGGAGGAGCTTGGTTTTATGGCGAGACCCCTCGTGATTTTTGGAAGAGGGGGTGTTTTGTTCTGTGGCGAGACCCCTCGTGATTTTTGGAAGAGGGGGTGTTTTTGTTTTATGNTGTTTTATGATGTGATTTTTGGAAGAGGGGGTGTTTTGTTCTGTGGCGAGACCCCTCGTGATTTTTGGAAGAGGGGGTGTTTTTGTTTTATGATGAGAGCCCCCTGTATTTTGGAGAAGGGATGTTTTTGTTGTTGGAAGACTCACCTTTAAAGGCGAGTAAACTGATTTATGGCATGGTAAGTTGTCTGATGAGTGATAAAGTCTGACGAAAAGGGCCACTTTTGTTTGGAATGTTTGAGAAAGTCGCAATGAGTGCAGGGCGAGAGATGTCTCAGGATGGGTGGCTGATGACTCTGATCAAGTCAGGGGTCACGGCCTGGTGGATTTAGCGGTGATTTTGTTTGTAAGCGTGCGAAGGATGCCATGTCTATTGAGGGAGGGCTGGTAAATGCCTTCGGACCCCTGCGTATCGCGCAGTGGGCCAATGAGGTCAAGCTAACGGAAAAGAAGTTAGTACCTCTAGGGCGTAACCCCATTGGATGGCTGCTAGCCGGCACAACCTGGCTGCGGGACCACGTGGGTAAGAGTTTAAGGGGGGGTGCCCACCCCAGTGAAATTACTCCGCGGGATAGTGATGGTTGAAAATTTTTGGGGGAAATCCTGATTGAATGCTTATCAGGAGAAAACCTATCGTTGCGTAACCAACGAGGGTACTGCTGCTAAATAACAATGCGGTGAGCCGTGGTCCTGGTCCGATCAGCCAGGCTATGGTGGGCCAAGGTGGAGACCTAGCCTTTCTGTACTAGACTCCAGAAAGAGTTGAGCGGATATTAAGTATACATGTATACTTATGTGTATTGGATTGCGAGAGATTTTTGAGAAGGAAGTTGATAGTGCCTTCAAAAGGTCTCGATTAAGGCCTGCGTTCCTAGTTTTTGCCAGGACTACGGACACCCAATGAGAAACCGAAGGTTGTCTAGGACCGGGGAGAGGACGAATGGGAAAGTCTTTGGAACTTATGCGGCCAACTCCCTAATTTATGGGCGGTGAGAGGCCCAGGTTAGAAACTTGGCAACATATAGTTGTGGAGACATGTTATGATGGAGGCCTCTACCCTGTGTTTGTCGGCTAATCGGATTGGTTCCTGTTTCGTCAGCATTTGGAGTGTGGATGGATTTATAGCTTTCTGATTTGGCGAAGCGACGGGGACTTCGCTTAATATGGTCCGGTAAGCTGTCGGTGCGAATACCCTTACAAGGGTATCCGCCCTGGTTTTTGCAAGTGACAGAAAATAGTTTTGGTCTAGAGTTGCGCTAAGCGCGGCTGTGTCAGTAATTGCGTTGACTAGGTGGTTGACCACAATAGCGAGTGCGTGGGCGCGCAAGTTTAAGGCGCGCGTGATTCTTTTCTGTTATTGATCGTAAAGCTGGCCCGGACCTCAGTCGTTTTGCTTGGTGATATTATTATTATTTATTTATTTTTGATTAAGCAGGAATTAAGGATATTTTCTTTTGATTGGTACATTTGACTGAGTTGAGTGCGAGTGCGGAGAACGACTCCGACGACGACATCGACAATAACGGTGCGATTTCRTGCGGTGAGCAGGATGTCGCAGGATGACGCGCAGGGGCAATTACGGCATGGTATAAGCAAGCCGGCGCGGRCACTGGGAGCYGCRCAGCYGGTTWGTTGGCCCAAAGCGCCGCGCCACACCGTCTTGTATGGTACTCTGCGGGCRCTGGTATCAGGCTTGGGCTTAGCCCTATAGGTTACGGCATTGGGTTGACGATACGGAGGTTCGGGGATCGAGGTTAGCGGGCATCGGCGCAGCAACCGCAGCGGAGCGTCGCGGAAGGGACTAATGGGGTTGAGGGCCCGGCGGGGCTACCCCCCTCTGATTTTATCGATGGGCACGATCTGTAGGGACGCCCGTTAATTTTCCCGTTCTGGTTTTATTATTTTTTTTATCCTTTTAAATCCCCTCCTTATTTTTGTCTACTCGCGTCCCGCTCTGGGGCGCGATGTCGGGCCTAAGGCTGGATCACGTGAAGTATGTCGCCTGAAGTGCAATTACAAACTGTTTTCGTAGTGCTGTGGGTGCGGCAGGCACCCAAGAGCCTAGCCTAGTGAGGTACACCCATGAGCTGTTGAAATACAGACCGCGCTCGATGCTGGATGGGCGGGACCCGGTACTCTGAATTGCCTGGGTCTGCCCAGCCTGCGGTCAGGCCAAGGGTGCCACCTCGAGGTTGCCGTGAGGCCTGAGTCCTTCGAGACATCCGCTAAGGCAGGGCACGACTGAGAAACAATGCGCTATGAGCGACGACCTGCATTACGGGTAGCAGAGAGGGACCGAGTGAAGCGCTGTGGCAACACGAGAAACAGACGAATCTAGCCCAGTACTGCGCCGGATGCTTACAGGGCTAGGACAAAGAAAMGGAGAGGGGCYGCGGCATACCGATGTGCCAATCGGTTGTTGGATTAYCGCCCTACSCCRAATAGAACACCCRGTCACTTTGTATGTATTTGGCCCAACCGTCAGTCCAGAGGCAGCGGAAATGACAGTGCGTTATATTCGGGTGAAGGCGGTAGGTATAGGGGCAAAGACTAATCGAACCGTCTAGTATCTGGTTCCCCCCGAAGGGCCCTCAGGCCGACTGGCTGTCGGGCAGGCGCTGGTCGGTGTAAAGTCCTTCGGGACATCTGTTAAGATTGGAACGATACAGGGCAGGTTGGCATGGGCCGGGGCACCGGTAACAAGTATAAAACAAGGGCGGGTCGACAGCCGAAGTTTTCTTTAAGAGGTGGGGGCTGTCGGACCACGCGGTGAAAGGTTGTGCGACGGGTGACGGGTCCGGTTGGACTGGGCTAGCAGCCACGGGCGCAGTGAGGCGGATAGCGGAGCGGAGCAACAAACAGCGAAGAGCCAAGCGGAGGGGAGAGCAGGGTAGGTGGCAGCGCAGGCAGGGAGAGCGTTGTGACGGGAGCAACGACGAGCTGGGCAGAGAGTGATGGGGGATGATGAAGAGAAGGAAATAAACCTGGACGCGGGCGGCGCCAGGTGCATTCAACGTTGAAGGGGGAGAAGATGGACATGGCGGAGGGGAGAAACACTTACCTCGCTCGATTCTTGATAGAATCGGGCGGAGAAAAGTGCTAGATCGGGGTTTTTGGTGCTCGCGACCCCGATTCTGTGGGTGGATTTGGGAGAGAGGGAGTAGAATAGGAGGGGCAAAGAGAAGTGGGTGCGCTGGGCTATAGTGGGAGTGACGAAGACAACAAGGAGGAAACGACTATCTCGCTCGTTTCCAAACGGAATCGAGCGAGGAAAGGTTCAAAATGTAGGTTTTAGAGTAGGGCGAAACTGATTCCGGTGTTAGTTTTGGCAAAGAGGTAGTTAGTTAGGAGGTAGGAGTAAAAGATGCCGCGCGAAAACTGTCGGGGCATGGCGGAGTGTCAGAGGCAGAAGAAAAGGAGACGAGTGTTCTGTACTCGTTCGTGGATGAAAACGGGCAAGGGAGGACTCAAGTTTGGGGTTTTCGGGGCTTGCGAACCCGATCGTACAGTTAGTTCGGTTGAAGAGTTAGTAGATAGAAAGTTATTGAGAGAAGTAGCTGCACAGGGAGTTGACGGGGATAGCGGTGTGGGACGTGTATTTGCCCGAACGCTCGGGGCAGATTCAGGGATATACCTACCCGCCTTTTAGCAGAAGATTCATTCGATTTTGCGCACCTTATTCTTGGCAGCAGGGTGAGGCTGGCTGCGCCACGCAGAGAGAGAGAG